AAACGTCTCCAAGTCTGACTGTTAGGGTTGTTTCAGCTCATCGGCCTGCCAGACAGTATAATCCCCAGACATGCTTCAAGTTTGATCAATTCAAAGTGCATTTTAACAGGATTAACAAGGCCATTTACAAACAGTTTCAGAAAAGTACTCAATGTGGTATTGTAGACCTTACTGAACAACATTTATCTGAGGAGGTGAACACTGGAGAGCCAAAGGAACAGTTGTTATCTCACAAACGCTTCTTTCCTCTGATGTTCATGCCAGGTCTCTGGGCTTATAAACTCTGTGACAAAGTTATAATGGTACAGATCAGGGGAATGATACAAGAACCTTTCAAAGACACAGAGTATCGTGCAGTGCAGTGTCAGCAATACAAAAAAGTTGAAAAACATATCAATCTGATTTGCTTTCCTCGCCTTATACTTACTTATACTGATTCTCCTGTGGATCCTTCACCATACATCCTGATATTAGAGGAAAGGAAAAATGTAAAAAATGCCTTGGAGAAAGTAAAGGTGTTCATGAATAGAAACATTTAGCTAGTATCTGAACCAACAAGAAGTCCTGGTAAAGGCCATTAGTATCTGAATACAATCAAACCAAACCATTTGTTATGTAATGTTCATGTGCGTGACACAAAATAATGATTGGCACAATTACCCATGATTAAGTTCTGCTCACGCTGAGCCTACCTACCTTGAGGCTAGCTGGTGCCCAAATAGTCTTTCCATTGAAATAGGTCAAACACGAGAATGTATTAGGGTATCAACGATTATAAACGTCTTTAGAACATAATGATATGATCATATTGTGTTGTCTTATATAAACATTTTGTCAAAGTTATAATTAGACACTGACAAAATTAACACTATACAATTGTGTACACATTTGCCATATTGTGATATGACACAATGCCTAAAAGACATTTAAATTAATATTATGATTAATGTTAGCCTCATTAGCCAGCCTTACTGGGTGCATGTGTGTTTAAGCTATGCGTATGTGTTCAATTGTTAACAAGACAAAGTTCGACTGAAGCAATTTGGTAGAGTGTGATGTCCGATTGTAGGTTTTTAACTAGCCTCATTTTTATCGATCAATAATATTAGGCTAACTATGTGTGTAAGGTAAACGCACATATGCACTCCCACCATAATAGAATGCATTGTTTGTATCAGTGACATGTAAATGTATGCTTGCTGTGATCACCAGTGCTCTTGTTTGAAGAATATTCGTGTTTAACTCTGATGTTTGCAAAGGAACGCATGCCAAGTGTGTTTTTGGTCTGTGTTTGCATGAGTGCATTTGATCAACAGCATGTGTTATTATTAATGTCCTAGAACATACATCAATATCATACAAGGCAACAGTGCCCCCCCCCCCTGCTATCCATTACCAGCTAACCTTTTCAACAAACCCTGTTCTCTGTACGGCTGTTTCTGCAATACCTTCAAGATTGGAAAAATACATTAGGAATTACACTTCCAGCTACATGGAAACTGCTGATGGGAATCCAGACTTCCTGCTTACATTTCATTTTCCTAGGCATAAAGCTGGGAGTGGGCCTGATAAACAACATGCAAGGGAGACATTAGGGGAATGGAGAAGAAAAAGTGTGCTTGTGCGGCAGTCTAAAAAGGTACATTTGCACAGGAAACACATTAGAAAAATAGTTAAATAGTTTTATATATAACTATTTTCTTTGAGGTGGTAGGGGATAATGCAAAGGGTCTAGCTACTGAACAATGTTTCTTTCTCATGTTTTAACATGTTATTAATGTATTTATTTGTATCCTCTGTAGCTCTGTCTATAAATGTAGATATTACTTGAAAGATGAACTGAACAACCCTCAAAAAAATTGTCAAAGTGAAGTTTTCTCGTTTACCAATTTGCCTAGAAAAAGACTCAGCACCTAAATGTAGCATTGACAGACCTATGCTAACGGTTCCCCTTTACCACTATTATTTCCTCTACGCTAAGCTATGCTTTGCTTAGCTACACCACGCTAAGCTAAACATGTCCCACATCACATCATATAATAGATCAAAATCCAAAATAGACAGATTCGTAAATATACCATACATTTATAAACCTACAAATAGGCAGCACACTTCCTCATAGTAGGTACCATACCACCTTAAACATTCATAAATGTGAGCCCTCCTTCAAATGCAGTAGTCGGGTGAATTTCAGCAATGGATTTTTTTAAACGGTATTTCTGACCTCTGTCTTCAGCAGACCTCGAAACTCTTCTGTGTTTTCTTTGTGGTCTAAACCTAAAGCCAGTCAGTGAGAGTCTGGGCTACAGTAGAACACTCATCTGGGATTAGGAGCCGTTTATTCATCTCAGCTCAGTAATACTATGAGAGCCTCGCTTCAGAATCCAATGAATATTTCACACTTTCATTTCATATGCAATCTCTGCTGCTCAGAAGTGTGTATTGCTGGGTATCATTCTGCACGGTTTACTTACATGTGTGTGTGTGTGTGTGTGTGTGTGTGTGTGTGTGTGTGTGTGTGTGTGTGTGTGTGTGTGTGTGTGTGTGTGTGTGTGTGTGTGTGTGTGTGTGTGTGTGTGTGTGTGTGTGTGTGTGTGTGTGTGAGAGGTAGTCCCACTGTATGTGTTATTTGGGGAATTAGAGTGAGGCACTTTTTTTTATCCGCATATTGAACATTTTATTTTATAGTATCCATGTGTTTTTTTTTATACTATATTTTTATACCACTTATCCTACTATTCAAATGAACCAGTGCTTATCATTTTTAAATAGGTTAAACTTTGCCTCTTTTGACATCAACTCATTAACTTGGAAACAATCATCTGATAACCAGCAACCCTCTCGCAACAACACAAGGTCAGAATCAGCGCTGACTGTAAGGCTGTGTTGACGGTGATGCGTTTACTTGCTGACGTACATCCTGAAGCGCATCTGAACAATAAAATGCCAAAAGCTTCCGTTATTTATTTTGGTCTCACTGCTTTCATGTCTATTGGCTTCTTAGAAACAGCGGGGATAAGCTGTTGAACTGCTGTTGTCTTTTGCCGAGCTCTGGTGATTGGCAAATCTGGGTGATGCCTTCTGATATGATTTAGCATGTTTGGCGTGTGTTACCATTAGCATACCGCACCGCTGTCTAACAACGCCGACACACCGTCCTCGTCCGATCCACCACTCGCACACCTCATCGTTATTGTAGTCCACAGGGAACCCGAAATGTTCCCACACAGCTGATTTAAAAGAAGCAGGTGGGTTCTAGCTCCTGTGTGTTATCTGAAATCGCCATACTAACTTTTCTTCTTCTTGTATTTTGTTCGTTTTGTTGTTGTGTTTCTTCTTGTTCTTCATTTGTTGTTTAAGGGCGGCTGGCAAACAGCTTTTAGGCGCAATACCGCCCCCTGGATTATATATAGTGTAATGGATACTGCCCTGAATGAGACTTTTTTCCCCACTCGTAAAAAAAAAAGGCGTATTCGTCGTGCATAGGGAGAGTGAAAACTATCCAACGGCAGGATGGGTGAATGCTGCTCTCTGAAGCTCTACAACACCATGGCAACAGGCTCTCATAATAGTAATCCCTGTGGTCAGTTGCTGGTCTCCTGACTCTGTTATTGCTCCTGTCATGGAGTCTTGTGGCCCCTGGGCGGGGGCTTAGCGTGTCATCATGTAACTCTCCGGCTCACTTTGAGACATTAGGGCTCATGAGGGAAACTCATCCAGCAAAGAGAACATCATAAGCTAGAAATATTTTTTAAAACGTCATGTGGGACAATATAATCGTCAGGGCAAAAACGCTATTCATAACACAATATAATAAACACTTTTCATTCAGCTGGAAACTAAATTAACTTGGTAACAAGATCTAAAAGCGAGATATTAACTGTGTGCCCTTTTTAGAGAAGGAGAGATCACTTAGTCCTTTAGGTTCTTACAGCCCTGAGAGAAATTGCCAACCTATGCAACTTTGTTCTTAATTAGTTCAGAGAATCTCCAACAAATCCTGCAGAATGTATACATCCTTAAAGGCATACAGTATGAGCCGAGCACGGGGTAATGTGCATAACATTTTATAGCCAGTAGGTTGCTCAGATTTTTTAGGCAGTGACCTAAATGAAAAATTCACTTCACCATAGGACACAGGCTCATTAAAACATGTTGATACTGTTTTCATGTGCAGAGAGGGTTCCAGATTCCTTTCAGGTCCTTAACCATGGTTCAAAAACCCTTAATCTAAGCCATTTATCACATTCTAATAATGCCTGAGTCCATATGACAGAGTGAAAAGACCTTTCCAAAGGGGGAAAATGAAAAATGACACATTCCTCAGGGGGAAACTAAGGAAACGGGATGTATGGATTGAGTTTGCAAAGTCTCCAAAAAGTGAATTGCTAATGACACAGCCTAACGCTGAAGGCAAAGTAAAACCTTTTCCCTTTGAATTTTGCTTGTGAGGCAATATTCTATCCAAGGGAGTGGCTTACACGACACTGCAGCTCAATACTGTGAACACACACTCTCACACACACAGAAATCTGCTCAAACATTCGTACCATACACTTTGCTATGTGACCAATGAATAGCTTTAAATCAAAAGGATCAATGCGTTATATGAGAGGTATCAAAAGGATCAATAGGGATACAGATGGTTTATTAGAGCTGTCAGACACCCGTTTATTTTCTTTGTGGACTGGCAAGCTTTATATTTGTTGAGTAACAAGCATGTGTGTGTACTCGGTCACTCAGGAATCAAACTGTTTTGATGTGAGGCTATTTAACCTCACATGAGTTAGTCAGACTTCACAGGATTGAATTGAGAAGATGAATGTTACATGGCTGTTTATAGGTCAGCTTAAAGTGACAAAACCACTGTCATAATGTCAGTTTTTATATTAAAGTGAAGTGAAATCAAGTAAAGCTATTTCACTGATCTCTTTCAAATCTTTGTCAGACTTAAACCAGGAGCAATGCCACAACATGGCGTTTTCTCCAGCAGTTCTTACCTTGTCCTTGTCTTCTACCAGATCACTGAGTATGTCATCGGGGTCCAGGATCCCCCCATCACAGTATTCAACATGGTGAGTCCTGACCAGGAAATCTCCTTCCTGTAACACAGGTTCAACAAACATCATTCAACAAGATAATGTCCAAATAAACCTGAAATCTGCTGAACTCTTTACCCACATGTATACATATGTGCCTGACTGCCTTTTATAAATAGTGGCTGCAGGAGTCAGTCACACCTCCATCAAGGCTGATTCAATGAAGCCTTGAAAGGGTAATGTCCCTTGGAATGAAAAAGATGAGCTTTACCCAAGCATGTTCAGCTATGTAGATTTGATTCACTTAAATGGGATATGCATTTGGCAAAAAGGTTTTTCTTTAAATGGCTTTGAAGTTTCAGAAAAAAAAAAATTCTAAAAACCCATGTTTAAGCATTTTTAAGACTTTCAAATATTCATTCAAGACATTTTAATTCCGATAAAGGTTCTTTTTTTTAATGATCAGCTGATTTCAGCTAAAGTAAAAAAATCTCAGCACCAAAACTAATGCTTGTCTGTGTAACAAAACATTGAGAAAAATAGGAGGGATTTGTCAATTTTACATAATTGTTCGCATTCATTATTGAAAAACATATACAAATGATCATGGTGTGAATTTTTAAGAACATGCGTACCAAACAAATGTTTTGTTAAGTATGAAGAATACTATTGGTAGGCCAGGATATCTCTGCAGTTTCACAATACTTCATTCAAAATGGTATTTTAACACATTTATCCTTTAATTGTGCTTCCTGTGAATTGAGTATTGCACATGTCCATGTAATGATTTTGATAGAATTCTGAATAATTGTGCCACCCTTGATGAAACCAATGCTCAGGGCTAAAGGCCTCCCCTGCTGGTTCCTAACTCTTCCACTCTGCACCTCATTACAGTTTACGTATACCTTTCTCTTGACAACTCTCGCATTCCCGCCCTCTTCTTTGTTTCTTTCGTCCTTACATCTTCCACATCTTTTCCTTGGTGCTGTGTAGATTACTCGGGCCCGGCCTTTCTCTCTCCCTCCTCCCTCCCTCGCTCGCTCCGCTGTGTTGGGTCTGTGATTAATGACACGCACACTGCACCGGACAGCTGACTACATAGAGCTGCTTGTTGAACAACATATTGAGACAACGCACACCAACACGCACGCAAACACGTAGAAAAACCACAAACAGCCTCAGGAAAGGTATGACTCAAAATGTTGCAGGGTGCCGCTCCATTAAATCACTCTTTCAGGGTCAGGCACTGTCGATGCTTTTCAAGAACTCCATCAGGGAGTGGGGCAGATAGAGAAGGGCGCTCCAAGTCCGAGAATATCACTGCAAGTCTCAATGTCCATACATGTTCCTACTCTACATCAAAACCCTTTATAATTAATGATTTACTTCCTCTTTACATAGAATGTTATGGTGTAATATTGTTTTTTTTGTACATTTATAAGTAAGACAGAGAGCGATGACTTCCTAAATGTTGTGTTAAAAAAAAACTGTACCTTGTTGCATTGCAATACCGTACAAAATAATGTCACCACCAGTATGGTTTTCATACTCAAATATTTAAGGATAGAATATGCAGTGCTTAAAGTTGTTATTGAATTTAACCAATTGTTTGTATATTGATCTTGGGTTTTATAAACATTCGTGACTTTTAATATCATTTAGATAGAGGCTTTGAATGAGCCCAACGAGTTTTCTGTCTCGTCATGCACTGTTTGTCATCTCTTATTTTTGTGTATTATTAAATTGTGCAAAACCCTTAATCATTAAACTATTTTCAACAAGCATACCAAATGCCATTAATCTTGTTTTTTTACATTACTACTAGGGCTGTCAAGTTAACGCGTTAATAACGCAAAAAAAAATTAACGCCACTAATTATTTTAACGCGATTAACACATGTGTATTTTTTGTCCTCGGCCGCCCCGTAGTTTCAGAGCGCATCGAGTTTAAAATACCATCTACAAGCTGATGCCGACAGCCCCGCTCCTGCTGCCTGATTGCGGCAGACCACACTTCCACGCTCACCGGCAGGCACCGACTGGCCATCGGGAGGACCGGGAGGGTGTGTGTATGTGTGGCGCGAGCGAGAGAGAGACCTTACGTGTATTGTTGTTGTTAGCATCTGGTGCTAGCTAGCTGCGCTAACGGATATAAGGAGCTGTTTCAATAAAAACAGAGGAGCGACATTTCGCCGACAACTGCGCCGAGCACTTGACTTTATGCAGGAAGCCAGACAGTGGGACATTGTACGAAAAGTCAGCACACTCAGCACGGATAGTGCGCAACATGATTGCAGCGTCCAGGCAGCTCCCGTTCGAGCATATGCCTTGAGTTGCACATAGCTCCAACGATCCATCACACACACACGAATATTTGTAATGTTCAGAGGTTGTTGTGTTTAATATTCATGAGAATATTTGTCATTGTTCAAATGATAATAACATTTGCATAAAGCATATTTGTCCACTCATATGTTGATAAGAGTATTAAAAACTTAAAAAGTATTCCTCTAAGGTACATTTATAACAGATAAAAAATGTGCGATTAATTTGCGATTAATTTGCGATTAATCGCGATTAACTATTTTAATCGACTGACAGCCCTAATTATTACATGTCACTTGTTAGACACTTTTATCCAAAGCGACTTACATACTCAATACTGTGGACAATCCCCACAGGAGCAATTTGGGGTGAAGTATCTTTCCCAGGGACACAACGACATGCTGACTGCAGTGGGGTTTGAACCTGTGCTCCAGTGTCTGCCCGTCTTAGTTTTGATTTGAGTTTCTATCTCATTTATTAAGATCAGGATGGACAAAGATGGGGAAAAACAAGCTTCTTTCCCATTTTCAACATTGACTTCACCAGCGCTCCAGAGAAGTGAAATATTTTTGCATTTCCTATTTTTTTCTTGAGTTGGCCACATGTGACGGCAAGCAATCTCTCTTTATTGGAATTCAAAATAGACGCTGGCACTCAGAAAAAGACGCTAGGTGGCCCTTAAAGGAGTTTTGGAAAAGTAACTTGACTGTTTGTTAAGGCTAGGCACTAGGGATGCTCCGATCGCCAATTTTGGGGGCCGACCGCCAATCGCCGGAATCAGTATCGGCCGATACCGATCGCCGATCCGATCGAGTGGGCGGGGGCTATGGGGATCTTCCATTTAAAGTGATGTTTAAAACTCAGTTAATGGGGCTCTGGGGCTCATTCACTGGCGTTTCCACAAACAACAACCAACATAATTATTACATTCAAATGAAGTACATCATTCAAGTTTATATTAACTTTGGATAATAACACGGGAGAAATGAGCGGAAGCGCTCTCTTTCCTCTCTCCCCCTCTCTCTCCTGACAGCCCGTCAGTATCTCATGCAGCTCACTGATCCAGTAATGAGTGACCCGACAGTGAAGAATACATATATGTAACTAGTTTAGCTTGTTCCAGAGGTAGATAAAATAGCTAAGTGTGTTAGGTCTAACTCTTAGTGTGTGTTTTGCTCTGCTCACCGGTCCGTCACAGCGGGCGGAGCTGCAGGATTTCTGCTTCACACACGTTGCATACAGCTATTTTACTGTCTTTTTCGGACACCTTAAAATACTGCCAGAACGGTGAAGCCATTTTGGCGAGCTTGTTTTGCCGTGCACTGAGAAAAGTGTCATGTATTTGATGTCATTTCGGCCTTTTTAGAGAGCACCGATCGATCGGCAGAGAGTGAATATCGGCCGATATCGATCGGCGGCCGATCGATCGAAGCATCCCTACTAGGCACATAAATGTTATTCTTTCACTACTGAAGACTTTTAAGTCGTCTTATTATTTAGTTACTTGCAAATATGTTATGCCAATACCAGTCATTTCTTAACTTTTCCTAAAGAAAGCATCAATTTAATGAACAAACATTGAATGCACTGTACTCCAGTGATATGTTCCTCTTTTTTATGAGTTACATGACAAAATGTTTGACCTTAAAAAGGCCCGGACACACCAGGCCGATTATCGGCGTCGGTGGGCGTCAGGCCAATGATGAGCGTCGACACACCCTACTCAGATTGGTGTGTCCCGTCCGTCGGGTCTTTTCAACCGGGCCGACGCCTTTTCGGCAGTCGGCCAAAGGCAGTCGGAAAAATAAATCACTCTGATTGGCTGTTCAGCTAGAGAATCAGTGCATGAGAAGCAAAACGGAAGTGAGGGACCCAAACAATCTATTAAGAAGACAAATCTGAGGTTTCATTTAACTCCAGCTCTCGACACAGGTTCGGGAAAGCCCCATGAGCTTCTCGTTGTAGAGTGAACATGGAACGCACACGCTATTTGTTGTTTGTTATATCACACAGTCTGTTCTTCTTCTCTCGGTTATCACGCAGTCTGTCTTCCGGTTGTTGCCTCTTTTGAATGACCAATATACACTACCGCCGCCTGCTGGTAAGGAGAGTTATTGCCACCAGTTCGTACGTGCTTCTTGGCCGTCGTCTGAAGTCTTTGCGGTGTGTTACAGTGCGACACATGGCCAAAACGCAGAGACGCGAGGCGACGCAACAGTCGGGGTCCGTCTGTGTCAGTTCTTTGTCAGATTGGTGTGTCCGGGCCTTAAGTCTACATGTTGCTCTTTGGCACCTGGTAAAATGGGTAACATAGAAGTACAACAGGCATGGTTGTGATTGTTCATTAAGGAAACTGTTTATCCCAAGTTATAGCCCGGAACAATTTTTTTATTATTACGTCACATATTAACAGACGTTTAAACAGCTTTTAATGTGTTGCACAAGACTCTGACAATGTGGCTGTTTATCCTGTTAAATTGCATCTCTTCCTCCCTCCCTCTCTAGCTGGAATTCATTGTATGACTCCATTGTAACACTGACTTGGCAGACACAAGCCAGATGTATTTCGGGAGAAGGAGAGATTTTCAAAAATGGTGTTTACATTGTTTTATTTTCCTCATTTGCAGTGTTTATCTTCCTTAAGCACTATCAATGAGGGTTTTGGGGCATATTAACTCTGGGACAACACATGTGAATGTTTTTTATGATTGCTATGGGAAAATTCAGTGCCAAAGTGTC